GTAGGCCAAGGTACCCTAAGGTAGGCCAAGGTACCCTAATGTAGGCCAAGGTACCCTAAGGGAGACCATGGTAGCCTAAGGGAGGTCAAGGTACCCTAAGGTCGGCCAAGGTACCCTAAGGGAGGCCAAGGTAGCCTAAGGGAGGCCAAGGTACCCTAAGGGAGGCCAAGGTACCCTAAGGTAGGTCAAGGTACGCTAAGGTAGGCCAAGGTACCCTAAGGTAGGCCAAGGTACCCTAAGGGAGGCCAAGGTAGCCTAAGGTAGGTCAAGGTAGCCTAAGGTAGGCCAATTAAGGTACCCTAAGTGAGGCCAAGGTACCCTAAAGTACTAGAAGGTACCCTAAGGTGCTCCAAGGTACCCGAAGGTAGACTAATGTACCCTAGTACAGCCTAAGGTACCCTAATCTCATTGTATTTTGATATACTATAATGAGGGCTAGACTAAGTCTCTAGCCCAAAAAGCCTAAATAGGCGTAAATAGTTCATTTTCTATGGTGCTATAATAGTCCACGGGAAGGATGGGAGTTTCTGGTTATGTTGGTTGCAATCACTGATATATATTATTCAATGTTTATATTGTTAGCGTTGTGGCCGTTGTTAATGATTTCAAGTTGGGAAAATATCGATATCGGTATCGATATCGAAAAAACCCGGCAAATATCGAGCAAATATCGTATCGAATGAAAAAGGTGGTATCGCCCATCCCTAATGATTTTGGTGTGACCCATAATATATTCGTCATCAAATGCTGACGCCTAGCCAGTGTGCATTTGAGAGGCATTCATCCCCTGATAATATTCAAAATGGTGAAAGTCCAAGGGGGGGGGGGAGGGAGTGAAATACCTCTCAAACGCGCACTGGCTAGGACCATACACCCTTTTCATAGATGGCTGCCGATTAAAAATTCTTTTATGCGCATATAAATTGGCCCAACTAGCCTCGTACTCATGTTAAGATTTCAATGGAATTTCTACCCAGAAACGAGGCTAGTTGGGCCAATTTATATGCACATAAAAGAATTTTTAATCGGCAGCCATTTATGAAAAGGTTGTATATATGGCGTCAGCATTTTGATGATGAATCATGGCGTGGCAGCGGCGTGGCGCATGCGCGAGAAACGTAAGCGTGGAGTGCACGTGAGCCCGGGTTAATCGCGTGACTAAATTATAAAAACAAACTGATCAAATTTGCCAAAACTACTCGTGTTATGAAGTCGTTTTCTTGTTTCTTTAGTGTTTCTACGCTCAGAATTTTAGGCATTTCCAACTTAGAAGTGTAATTTGCTTTGGAATAAGAACGTGAAAGTAGAAATAAAAACTTTGTTACAGCAGTTTAATTTCGCAGTGCAATGTAATATGTATATGTAATATGTATATCCTTTTTGAAGTGAGATATACAAGTGCAAATTGACCTTCTTTAAATTCGTACTTGCCCTATTTTTCACTCTATAAAAACTACTTTTATCCATGGAGAAACTATTTGACTCTAAAAATAAGCTTGAATTTTTGTGGACTTTCCTTTCAATTGCCTTGCTTGAGGGTCCTGAAGGGGTAAAATGGGAACTGGGATTGATCTATTTTTAGACTGGGAAAATGGGATTTGGGTTGCTGGGACTGGGATTTGGCCACTGGGAATGGGAAACGAAGTCCTCAAAAATGGGAATGGGATTGAGGTAATGCCAGTCAATTCTCAATTTTTCTACGTTTTAAGTATTTTAAAATACAATTTTGATCCGTTTTTGGTGTCTTTGGTCATGATTTTTGTTGTTAACTATATTATTCACAGCACTACCTGCGAACAGGCATACTCTGGCGCCCGAAATTCTGGGTTTTCTGATTATGCGTCTCTCAGAATGCTGCAAATGCCATTTCCTGGATTCAAATTTAAAAATTTCCCGTGCCTTCGGCACGAGCCCCCTCCCCAATATTTCATGAAGTGTCCGCCACTTGCACACACGGTGGCTTAAAAGGTCTTAAAACTGTTTATTCTACCGATAAATAAAGGGGTTTTTATTGACTGGGATTTCAATAACTCGGACTGGGATTTCTAAGGCTTCTAATAAAAATCCAACTGGGACTGGGATTTTGCCAAAATTTCAGGTGGGAAATGGGATTGGGCCCCCCTTCAGGACCCTCTTGCTGCTTTAAAAACAGTCTTTAGGTTGTTGAAGAGTTAGGCTAGAACCTACAACAATAAAAACCCCGATGCTTTCAAAAACCAGTGAATCACAATGCTGTAAACTCAACACCCTTAGAAATTGTAAGCAAAACATCGAAAAGCAAAATTCGCGGGAAAAATCTCACGAGCCCGCACTATTTTTATGCAGCGTCGACGAAAGTCCACGATCGGTTTCTGTGTTCTGTGTGCCTTATTCTGTGTCTAATCGCGGGCGCTCACCAACGGTGTTGAGTGGGTGGTCATCACTGATCTCAAAATATGGCTGTTTCCCAGGAGTGAAGAAGGCCAAAAATATAAAAAAATACATGAGAATTGAGAAAGCTTGGAAAATCGTTTCACATAACAAATTGTACAACTTTTTTGCAATTTTTAAACGTAAACATTGATAAGAATTGATATTGTATGATAAATCCTAAAGTATAGGGCAAGTTTGTTTCAATTGTTTATGTATGACTTTGTATTTAATATATAATATAGACTTTGTTTTTGATGTTCAAGTCTTTCCTATGCATTGTTTGCGAAAGTTTCTTAGTTAAATTAACTTTTGTAGAAGTTCATGATAAAAAGGAAAGCAAATTATTTTCATTAGCGTCCTGTACGAATTAAATTTATTTCATTTCAAAGTGCGAGTACGTAAGAAGTTGAATTGAAGCTCGAGTTGAGAAGTTTATAAATATCGGCAAAAAGCAGTTAATTTCAATTCACATTTAAAAACGTTTTACTTAGAGTTTCGTTTTGAATTTTACATTAAAATAAAGCCCATAGAAACCAAAATATTATACCTACTTCAGTTATATACTGTTTTAGAAATTGATAGTTCTGGGGCCGGTTGTATAAAAACGTAATTTATTAATAGCGCTAATTGTAGTTAGCGTTAATCACTGTAGTTAAATCCTTAACTGTAATTGCTGCCGAGCGAAGCGATGGCAGCCACCTATTCTTGACAACGTTTACAGTTTTTACTCGTGCCAGATCCCCGCGCGACTTATGTATTTTAGCCAAAGCATTTGAGATTTGTTTGTCGACCATTCGGGTCGCATTTTCTGACGTCACAGAATTCGAATGACGTTGTGTACAAATTTATATACGCAGGAAGTTTACGATGACAATCCGATCACTTCCGAAAGGTGTGTTCGGTTCGCCGTAGCTTCATAGGAGCTATGACATTTAATTTTGACATGACCATTTGGGCACGAGGCTTATTTTACAATAATATTACTTTTTGATTTTGGAGGAACAGAATTATATGTTTGAAGGTATGTTGATAAAAATAGTTATTTGATCGTTTGAATACTTTTGTTTATATATGTAAATGAACGTGATAGTCTGTTTTTAATACATTATAAAAATTCGAATTCTATCTCCTCTAGGTGTATATTTTGGTGTGTGTTCGTGGCGATCATTTGGTCAAATCAAATCAAAAGGGGCCGTTCATTGTGAACTCGCTGTAACTGTACCAAACTTGCTAGCCATGTGTGAACTAGCTATATTTTATACAAGCGAAGTGTGATATCGCTAGCTGGGCAATCGTTGATGTTGGCAATAATAAAGTTGTATACTGATTCTGTCAAAAGATCAAGCCAACGAGGTATTGTATATCAAATTTTTATGTAGGTTGTATGTCAATTAGAAAATTGCCAATAAAAATAGTTATATATATTACAGTAAAATGATTATTAATATTGTTTATATTATGGGTAATTAAAGTGGTTCTTATATAATCTTACTTCACACTATACTTTTTTATATTCTACACATAATTGTATTTTGGGTGCTTAATTGCCCAAATTTTATTTAAACATATATATTACTAACGTTTGCCCAAGAGCACTAAAATAACAGGCTAAAATAACAGGCCAAATTTCAGGCTAATGGTTCATAACCTACTGGTTCTTTTATGCGGGGTTTACTGTATATCAATAGACCTTATGCATAATGACGTCTTAAGGCTTGATGCCTGCGAGGAATGCTGGTCTTGTAGTCATCACGGTCCAGGAAAATTTCAATAGTGGCCATTTGACCAGCATTCCTCGCGGGCATCAAGGCTTGTGACATCATTATGCATAAGGTCAAATGAGCAGTATGATGTCTGAATTGGAACACACAATTGTACACAAATGAAAAATTATCTGACTTTTTTCCAAAATGCTCACGATTTCTTTCTAATTATATAGTTTTGCAGTTCTGACTGAGTACAATCTTCATATTTATACAATGAATGGTGTCATATGAAGCCGACGTATTAAACAATTACAATCTTAATCATTTACACAATGAATGGTGTCATGAAGCTGACGTATTAAACAAAAATGTCAACAAAATAGATTTTGTCTCCCCATTGGCAGAGTTCTGTGGTAAGGGTAGCCTTGAAGGTGCCATTAAAATGATAATTGGGACAAAAACTGACTTACTGGTAGTATTTCTATGTATGAAATTGTTATTAAATCCTACATATCCAATGATTCATTCAAGTATTAATTATTATTGTTTGTTATATATGATATTGTACAGTATTTAGTGGCAAGCTAGCCATGACAACTGGTCATGATACTGTATGCCAATAAACCTGCATCTATTTGAATAAATAATGCAAATCATTAAAAGCTTGCGTGACATGACCTGTAGACTTTTGCAAAGTCCTTCATCTTTGTTTAGAATGAAGGAATTTTGGTTATCGTTCCATGTTTCACGCACCAATATAGGTTAGGACCAATATAGGTTAGGGTTGGGTATTAGGGTTAGGGTTAGGTTTAAGGTTAGGGTTAGTATGTATATGTGTATGGAAGTATCCTGTTAACTTTTCAGTACACCTATAATATCCATTACATAACGTTTACTATATTGGTGCGCGAAACATGGAACGATTACCAGAATTTTCAAGGAAGTAATTTCTTGAAGAGTGAGGATTTGTGGAAGTCAATGCAATTAGAATATTTAGCTGACCGTCGACTTTGTGCAAGGTGTTTTCGTATTCAAATTGCACTTTTCCTACCTCCTGAACAGGTGTCTTAGGGGTGCTTTACCTGCTTATGTGATGAAAGGCGGGGTGAGGCAGCACTTTCCTTGCGATAGTAACTTCTAGTAGTTAACTACATGACTTAACTGCGTTGCACAAAACGTACTTAGTCGGATAGTTAACTAATCACGTAGCTAACTGTGCGTGGGGCTTGCGTGGGGCGTTTAAACACAAAATTACCGATAAAGTAAGCATCGAGTAACGACCGCCGACACGCATTTTCAACATGATTGTGGACTCGTATTTTGCAAATAGGCGGGAATTTTGGATTTTACTACATCCCGGGCGTTCTTTGTCAGTGCCCGCGATCACAACTAGTATTATTAGCGGTACATGATGATAACATTGAGTGTTTCCTGAAATCATAATGTTTGAAAGAAAACATCTTAAAAGCCAAATATAAATGATATAATACTCGACGTGAATTTATAACTTTGTTAAACTGTAACAGTTCGTCGGCATATTAATCTATATTTCAAGATATCAGTTTGCTTTTAGTCAGTTTATTTGATCCAAACATATTGCCTTTTTATTTTTTGACAAAACTTACATATTTATGTTTTACCATTAATTTCATTTATAGCAGCTCAACAACATGATCTCTTCTCAAAATTAAGGCTATGTCTTTAAAAAAAAAAGGTCGCCAGATTTGGACTGGATTAGGGTTAGACTAAAATTAGATTAGGATTAGGGTTAGCGGTTAGGGGGTTAGGGGGGTTAATGGTTAGAGGTTAGGGTGGGGGTTATGTTTAAAATTAAGGCAATGTCTTAATTTTGAACGCTTTTTACAATTAAGACATAGCCTTAATTTTCGGAAGAGATCGAGCTGAGCTCAATTAAAAAATAATTAAGTGACTAGACAGACGGGAGTTATTTCGAGTGTATCTAAAAGTCGAGGGTCGAGAGTCGAGAGTAAAAGTCGAGAGTCGAGAGTAAAAAGTCGAGAGTCGAGAGTAAAAAGTCGAGAGTCGAGAGTAAAAAGTCGAGAGTCGAGAGTAAAAGTCGAGAGTCGATCGAGAGTAAAAAGTCGAGA